ATATAGTGATTTTATTTTCTTTGTTGGAATATTTGAATCATTATTTGTTTTTAGCATATTACAGTTCAGATCACACAGGATATACATTTCTTTATTTTCATTATCAACAGCTTGGACCAATTTTTCAAAATGATCAAAGAATTCTGATAATGCACTGGGTGGTCTATAGACTGTGGTAACAAGAAATGGTTTGCTATGCGGCTTAATAATTTCAACACAGACAGCTTCGAGTTCAGTGGGAACTAGATTATTTCTTACTTTGTAATTTATGGAGCTACGCAAGTAAATACAAACCCCACCACCGTTTCTTGATCTGTCTTTTCTGACAATATCATAGCCATCTAGATTAATCATGTTATCGGTTATATTTGCATCAAGTCGTGTTTCATTAAATGCAATCAGATCAATGAATTTTTTGGTCATTGAAAAATTAATTTCATCTATATTTTTTGGTAGACTCACTATATTCAGAAAAGCCATTTTGAAACATCTTTCATTTGGGATTGAGCTGAGAGTTTTTAAAAAATCACTGCTAACATTGTTGCTTGACATATTGTCTACTCTAGCTTGTGTTTCATCATGCGTTTCACATGATTGAGATACATTGTCCACTCTTTCAGACGGCCAGAGGGTGGACAAAAAAAATGGTTGTTGGAGTTTCTAGTGCTAATTCTGTCTGACTTTAAGTAGGTACAGAATGAACTTCCCAAAGCTTTATCACCGTCCCGATTTAAGTGTAGGTTTGATCTATTTAGCAATGATTTTCCTATGCAGCTATTGTTGATAAATGTAATTTTATGTTTGGAGCAAAGATCATTAACTAATTTATTATATTGATCAATTTTATGATTGTTTACCTTGCCATCATAACGCTTGATAACACCAGATACTGCTAATTTGTTGGTGTGGGCCTTTGCTTTGTTGATGAGATTTTCCATGTCTGCAGCAACCTTCTTTGGTTCTTCATGCACCAAGTCATTTGTTCCAACATGAAGGATAATGGTGTTGTACTGCTCTTTCTCTGCATGGTTCTCATCAAATTTCTTCGCAAGCTGGTTCACAGTGGCACCACTGTAGGAATGTGAAATTGCTTTGCCACGTGCAGCTCTTCCAATCTTGTTTCCGTCAATATGCTTTACCATAGAGTCCCCTATCACCAAAACTGCTTTCTCCTGGCTCTGCTTCGACAGCTTCGTGGAGGATTTCTTCATGGTAACCAAATTGTTTCCGGGGTCCTCTCTCAATTCCTTGTCTTCAGGTTTTGGACGCTTTCTACAACGAGTTGAGTCCTTAGGTGATCCCCTTGGGTGGTTGGCTTCTTTGGAATTTTGCAGAACTTGGTCATTGTCAGAACTTGGTTCTTCCACATCAAGCACTTGAAATACATTAGGTGTGAGTGGAATTTTTTCTTTGTTGATAGCAGGTTTTGATGATTTCTTGGCCTTTTGGTCCGTCTTGGTCCACTCGTTTTGTTTTATATCAAGAACACACTTGATATTGGCATTATCACCGCTCAATTCACTTACACTTAAATTCAACTGTTCGATTTCGCCCGCCATTTTGTTATTTTGTTCTGACAATGTTTTTATGGTAATTTCTAAATTTGTTGATTTGAATACTGCCCGCTGCGATTCATCTTCTTGTTTAGCTTTAATTTCATTAATCAGAGTCATAATGTTGGCAATTTGATGTTTATAAACTTCACAATTTCCGCACATCGAGTGATTTTCATCGACATCTGGCTTCAGATCGTGTTGTTTGTTGACGACGTCGACCATGTGCTTTGTCGTTTTTATGTTCTCATCTTGACTCGTTACGCCATTTGCTTGCGCACTTGCCTCTAGAGCGCTTTGCAGAGACTTTTCCTCGTTGTCTTGCATAATCTGCAGTTTTTCTTTCTTCGGGCCGTGCCATTTTAAGCTGAAATCTTTGCTTTTGAATAATTTTTCCTCTCTGCGAGGCGAAGACCACTTCCCGTCGTCGCATTTCAAAATCGCCGCTACGAACGTTTTTAGCGAGTTTAGATCGCCTTTCCATGTAAAATTACTTACATTGTAGAATAGAAAAGAAGATTTTTCTATTTTGCTTTCAGATTCGCTGGTTTTGTTGTCGGAATTTGCAACAGATGCGGAGCTCGGAATTTTGTCACCTTTCGCCATGACACCGGATGCCAACCCAACGCTTGTGTATAAAAACATGAAATCGCTAGCATGTATATTTTCCGATGCCCACGGTTTGTCTATGACTGAAAAGCAAAGCGCGATAATTTCCGACGATCTACGAAGAGAATTCTTTCTCAGCTGCGTCTTCGCCCGCAGACGCATGGCGCCCGCACGGTGGACGCACCCGCAAGCGCCCGCAGACGCACAGTGGACGCACGACGGACGCACGGCGCCCGCAGGACGGACGCACGGCTCCCGCAGGACGGACGCACCCGCGGGCGCCCGTGGAAGCACAGTGGACGCAAGATACCTTTGATAAGTTATTTCTTGGCAGTACTGTACAAGATCCTTCAACCATTATTCAATCGAGTAGCTCAGTTGTTTAGAATGCTGCACCCGAATCGCAGGGTTGCATTGTTCGCAGCTGTTCCTGGCTACAAGATCCTTCAACTATTATTCAATCGAGCAGGCCTTAAAATATTGGTCGGTCACGGACATTGTCCGACCCATTCGTGAAATTGTCCGACGTAAAGAGGAAACCACCGGACATTCTGTCCAACCTAAGTGAAACTGAGGTTTATTGTTTGTCTGACCCGAGTGTATTGGTGTCCGACCAAACTGTAGCTTTGTCCAACGCGAATCAAAATGCACCCTAACCCAGGACTAGAGTACTATTCAGAGTACTATTGTATAAAAGGTGAACTGGAAATGTTGTTTTAACATAGGCGAGCGCTGGGTGGCGAGTGAAATGGTGAAGTGGAAAACAGGCTTAAGTTGTCGAAGTCTTTTTTAATACTGCTGTTCTGGAAAGCAAGTTAATTGTAGCTTGGAAATAAGTATCAGTGATGAAAGAAACAAATGATTTAATATCTTTACAACATTTACCGTTCAGAATTAATACATTAATTGTGCTGATATTCATTTGTGTCATTCAGACTTGTTTCCGAATCAAAACTGAACTGAAGGTCTTCGGACATATGTCCGACCCAAACTCAACGTCACCGGACATTTTGTCAATTCCTGGAGTAACCATCCCCCCCGGGCCACCCCTGGGAATTTGCCTGATAGACAGTTCACTGGGGTCGGGAATTTGTCTTTCATCATTTCATGTACGTGCACAGGGGCCGGGTATTGTTATAGTCGCTAAGGACCCCGGGGATTTGACAAATGGCTGCCCAGAATCCCACCCGCAAATTTAAAGGCAGCAAAACCTAGTTTCAGGCATGCAAGTAGGCGTGCTGATCGTATTTTGCGCCCTCGTTGTCAAGGTGGCGTAAAATTTATTGTCAGAATAAGCAAAAATTATAACCTGTGCTGTGCAAATTTAAGTACAACTATTGAAGTTTTATGATTTCATTGTTTAATTAAACCAGGGTGAATTTGAGGGTGTATTTCTGAAAGATCTTCGGCGCAGAACAGCGACTCAAACAAAATTTGGCGCACGTCTTTGGCGCAGATTGACCGCAAATATTGATCTGGCACAGCAATTTGGTGCAGAATGATCCCAAAGATCCATTTGGCGCAGCAAATTTGGCAAAGATTTGGTGAAGCAATTGAGCATTTATATATTAGTATATTTGAAATTATGATTTGAGAGGAATGAAAAGCCAAATTTCAAAAATTCAGTGAAAATTTCGGAAATTCTCGAAAACCACATATTTTTTTCGTGACAATTTTCTTGGCACAGGTTTCGGCGCAGCTTTACATGAATTCGAAAAATCTTTGGCGTAGAACAATTGAGAGATTCACCCTGGTAATTACATACTTTTAACCACTCTTAGCAAGATTCAAGTTTATATTAAAGTTTTATAATATTCCATAGCAGTTTAATACTATAATGTTATTAAATGACTATGCTATTATATGCCATTAAAAGTTTAATTAACGTTTAAAATCGTCCCCGGGGTGGGAAATTTTCCACTCTCAGCTTGCCCAAGGCATGGGCGTACCGGACGGGGAGGGGGGGGGGGTGCGGCAGCCCCCCAGTTTGTTGGGCAAACAAAGCCAGTCGGGCAATATTCGCTTCACAGTCGGGCAATATTGCCTTATAATTATAAAAATAAATGGGACAATTTCTGTCAATTTTGTGGGAAATTCTGTCAATTTTGTGGAAAATATGCTATCTAATAGG